ATCATTTTGGTACGTTGGTCGTCGCCGGTGATCTCACCGTCGGTGAGAAATCGCCGGTCAGAGCCGTCGCTACCATGGTCAACGTCGGAGGTTAGGGATGACAGGTTGGGTCGGGTTGTCAGTGACTCAGCGTTCAAATGGATTTTTTTCTATTTTTAGATTTGAATGAATAGTGTCTGTTTTTGTTATTTTTGTGTAGATTTATTTAGAGCTCCAAAAATTATGAAAATTTTTGTGTGACTTCTCTGTGATATATAGTATTTAAGAAAAATATAAAATGATGTTTTTCAGTAATTTTTGAATGTGATAAAAATTAATCAATTTATTAATAAATGGATTTCCATGATTTTTCTAGGCTTATTTATATATCCAAAAATTATGAAATTGGTTTTTCCACTTAGTTATCATGTAATGAACATTTACAAAAATTTTGAGCTCAATTGGAATAAGTTGATTTATTTCATAATTTTGAATTAAATAATTAATTCATAAAAGCAAATAGTAACCTTTAATGATTTAGGTTTTGTTTGAAATTTTGATTGAGTGATGACCTTGTATCATTAGTTGATAATGATCCTTGGCAATTGATTGGGTGTTGCGAAAAGGTTTGACTAGTTTGACTTGCAACCGTATCACAAAGGAAAGTTGTATTCAAATTATTAATTTTGCATCCATCATCGAGCATCATGTTTCAGTATTCCACATCATGTTAAACATGGCATTGTTATTACGTGTAGTAAACAAAGGTGAACACGTGGTAGTTAATCAAGTGGTTGAGGAGGTTAATCCGTCTGCTGAGGTCGGACCAATACTTGTGAAACGTCGCAGAGCCGGACTTTTCCGTCAACGAAGGCAAGCCCCTTGATGCATACAACCCTACCTTGTGTTTTACAAATTGATTTTGCTTTTGCTTTCCGTTATCGCATTAAGTGATTAGGAGTTAAGTAAGAGCCTAATTGGTGCATTACCATCCTTGTTATTCCATATTTACCATATTACCAGCTTTTTAAACTCGTATATGCCTAGTTTTGCTTAGCTATCGTAGAACAATGAAAGTCGGGTGATTACCGCCACCGCAAGTTTTAAATGGAACATTGGTTAATTATGTTAGCATGTGATATGGGAATGTGGAGTAATAAATCTAGACCCAAGCGGACTCGGGTGTGTGTGAGCCACAAGACATGGAGGTCTTGTGAGCGGGTTCTTTCCGCCTATGTCGATTAAGGCACGCTCGTTTTGTTGAATTGCATGAGGTGAGAATTTGTAGTACTAACCACATACTCCGGTAAGCTTTGAACTTGGCGATTCTATTACAAGAATGGCTACTCACAGACTTTGGGAGTGGAGAGATGGCGGAATAGCGTGTACCCACGTGGCTATGGGTTTGGATTGGTGGAGTACTATATTCTCGGTGGCGTGGACCCGTTCTTGTTTCAGAGGATCTCGAGGGTAGGTTGATATATGTAGGTCGGGGACCTACATATGTCGTGTGGTCCGAATTCCCAAATTGGGTTTACAATCGGTTCGAATCGTCGTTGCTCCTCGGTTATGGAGACTCAACTCACTTTGCTCATCATCGTAGTATTAATAATTGGAACTTGAGAATGGTTGATGAAGGTGTTGGATATGAAGTTTTATGATCTCATTACGGATCGTGTCATCTTTGTATATGAGTTTATGAAGTTTAAAGTGTTGAAATTAAGAATTTTGTTAAAGAGCTTTTACGCAAAATAACTTTGATTATTGCTAAAACCATACCTTGAATCCCTGAGCCTGCATTCTTGAGTTATCAGTTCTTATTTCGGATAAGTCTTGTTGAGTACTTTTGTACTCAGGGTTCGTTGACCCTTGTTGCAGGTGAGTCTCATGAGTAGATCTGTTGTGGATCGTGCTGCATGACAGTTGTACCTTGTGATGACGATGAGAAGTAATTGTGTGGCCCTTGGGCAGGGCAGCCTCATTGTGTGTTTTGTATTATATTATAATGCCGCTCCACTACTTTGGTTTGTATTAATATCGAACTTAGTTGTATGGTTTGAAATAAATGGTTTGTAAACTATGTTATTGTAAGTCTTCCGCTACTTTTACTCTGATGTATTTATTTAAATAAACTGTTGTAATACTGCAATGACTCTGTAATGTGATCCTGCTCGGAAATCGTGGATGATTTGGGGTTCCCCGAGGACACCCGACAGTCTTCTTAAATTACCAGGAACATATGCATAGATGTCAAAGGTCGTTGGACAGTGACAGGTGCATGTGGGCCCTATAATTTAGGAGGTTCTGCCACATTTACCTTCTTAGGCTTGATTCAATTATTGAATGACTTAGCTAAATTATTGGTCACATAATCAACATTTGACAATGTCCTGTACCGGCTCCTGGTCCAAAGTTTCTTGTGAGTTTCTTGTAGATACTTCTTTGCCTTAGGTTTGGCTGCAGCCATTGCTTGATAGTGCTTCTCAAACATGTAAGGGCTCCATGAATACGAAGAAGCCCACAAGTGATCATCAAATACCTTCCTACTGTACCTCTTCTTGAAATTATATACTAAGTGATATATACACTCTCTATGTTTAGCATTTGGAAAAACTTCACTAACCCCATTCATGACTACCTGGCCATAATCTGTGCAAAATGTCAAGTACTTTGGGTGCCTATTGCTTCCTTCAACCTCTCTATGAACCACACCCAATTCTCATTGGTTTCTGAGTCAATTACACCAACAGCTACTGGATACATCCAGTTATGCCCATCTACTGCACAAGCAATGCACAACTGCCCTCTAAACTTTCCTGTTAAAAATATGCTATCTATTGCAAGATATGGTCCACAGCTTCTAAAAAATCCATCAACACATGGTTTCAGTGCAAAGAATAGCCTATTGAACCTGATCTTATTGTTGATGGTGTGATTATCAATGATAAGAAATGATCCTAGACTTAATTCTTCTAACTGGGCCTTAAGACTATACAGGTTATCAAAACTTTTGCCCCAAGGCCCATAAATCTTATCCATGGCAAGATTTTTTCCTTTATACACTCTCTTGTAGGGCACCATAATGTTGTGTGCATCCTTCAAGCTCCTTTGCAGTTCTGTTGCACCTAGAGTTCCATCTTCCTTCAGCCAATCAATCACCTGACTGCACACCTAGAACTATGTTACCCCTACACAGATTCCTTGCCTCCTAGTGCTCTGGCACTCATGAGGGTAGGGGTTCCTTTTCACCTACAAAATAGTCAAGTAATGCACTTATTACAAGCCACACAATGCAAGAAAAACAAGGAGCAGTCAATGAAAACAATGTACTAACACATTACTTTAATAGTGTGCCCATCCCTTAGAGTCGAGGCATGAAGTCTCCACCTGCAACTCTCACTCTGCTGTGAGCAGTTCACCCTATACCTCCCTGTATCACTCTTCTCAATGTCATAGTTGAACTCATGTTTAACAGCATGAGTAGCTAAAGCAATCTTAAAAGCATCCATGTCTGAATACACTATTTCTACTGACATAGGAGGGTCCTTCTTGTCATAATCAACATCAGGTATATGTTTAGGCTCCCTATCTTTAACTATATCATCTATGTCTTCTACTTCATCATCAGATGATTCATCATCAGAGTCTGTCTTAGAGGATTCATCAGCACCCGAACTCTCACCTTCCCATTCTTTACTCCCACCTTGGTTCTGAGAATTGGGAGGAGGTGGGAGGTATTGGGGGACCTTGGCTCTGAGAGGTGGAGGGTATTAGGGACCAAGGTCAATATACAACCTTTCATCATCAACACTCACATGCTCATTCATTGGATTTGGATTAGCCAGGTATTCATGTCCAGCAGATTGAGTGTGTGTGGCATGGCTTGGTTCTGCTAAGCTTGACAAACAATTGAAAGGGTGAATGGGGGTTCAACAGAGTTCACAGTGCTACCAAAATCCTAATCAGGAATCACAGGGGGCTCACTACTTGGGCCATGATATGCAACAGTCAACAAGCAGCATTTGGAAGCCTTATGTTTTGCAAACATTTTAACTAAATCTTGATCAGTGCAGACTTGGATATTCACTTTACTATCCATGCAGAAATAAAACAATCTCACTATATCACCGTAGTTATGAGGATACTTGTCGACAACTTCTGCAACCAGGTCTGTGAAGTTAGTGCGGTCAGCATCCACGACTTTGTTCAACGAAAACCACCGCGCACGAGAATTGGGAGTAACAATCCGAATTTCTAAGTTGTAGCTACTTTCTGTGTTCATCCTACAGATGAACAAGTAGCACGCAATCAACACTACAAATACGGGGCACAAACGTAGGGCACTAAATACCAATCAACACTACAAATATGGGGCACCACGAAACCAAGGGGGGAAGTAGTGAACTCACTCGTCCGGAAGCCAATCCAGTCGCTCGCCCACGCCCTTGTTCCCTGCCATGCCACGCCTATCCTTTGGATCCACGGTCGAATCCACGCTTCACTACCCCATGCGCCGCCACAAGCACGGGGGATTCGTCGTCTTCTCTTCCAGCCGCCGCTACAGCCTCTGCCGCTGAATCCGTCACCGCTAGGGTTTCTCCGCCGCTAGGGTTAAGAAACTAAAGGAGTCGAGCGAGAAGAAAGAGTAAGAGACTGAGGGAGATGCCAGTCAATATTGGTCAACACAGCCTCCACGTATGTCCGTGACTGAAATGACAACATGGATATTTTTCCTGCTCGGTCCCACATATAAGAGCCGTCAAACGGTTAAAACCAAACAGAATAGAGACTGAATGACATGTTGGATAAAAAAATTTAACGTCATGGCATCAGAATCCGTGTAAACTTTTTAAACGAAGCATCTTTCCTAATAACAAAAGGCTCGGGGAAAGTCGAGTGGCAGCAGCAAAACCCCGCACCGCAAGGCAGAAAACCACAATAAACAAGGCACGCAACGAATCCGATCCCGATTTATTTCGCCCAAATCCGCCGATTAATCCCCACGGCACGCCGGCCGCGTCATGCTCCGGCCATTCCTCTCCCCTCACCACCGCTCTGCCGCCGCCCCCGCCCCCATCGCAGCAGCTGCGGGCGCCGCGGCGATGCGACCCGCGTCCTCCTCCCGCTCCTCAGCCGGCGGAGGCGGGGCCCACCACCACCACCATCACAACCACGGCGGCGGCCACAACAACGTCTCCGTCTCGCCGCCGGCGTGCACGACGTGCAGGCACGCCCCGTCGTCGGCCACGCTCGATCTCCTCATCCTGCTGCTCGTGCTCTTCTCGCTCGCCTTCCTGCTCGCCTCCTCGCTCTCGCACGTCGCGCGCTCGCTCTCCCCGCTGCTCGCCACGCCGCCCGCCGTCGCCGCGCTCGCCTACGCCGCCGCCGCGCTGCCCTACCTGGCCGCGGCCGCCGTGCTCGCCGCCGCCGCGTTCCTCTCCTGCCGCCGGCTCCCGCGGCGCCGCTGCCGCAACCCGCGCTGCCGTGGCCTGCGGAAGGCGCTGGAGTTCGACGTCCAGCTGCAGACCGAGGAGGCCGTGCGCGCCGGCGCCGGGAGCACCGTCGGCGGCGCCGACGCGGCCATGTGGCGCGAGATCGAGGCGCTGCCGTGGAAAGGCGGCCAGGGCGGGAACAACCCGGACTACGAGTGCCTTCGCGCCGAGCTCCGCCGGATGGCGCCGCCCAACGGCCGAGTCGTGCTGCTCTTCCGCAACCGCTGTGGCTGCCCTGTTGCTAAGCTCGAAGGATGGGGCGCCCCCAAGAGCAAACGGCGCAACAAGAAGTGAGTGATGGTTGACTATATTTCATTTATTTATTTATTTGCAAATTCTACATGATTATTACTTCAGTCCACCAGCTAAACTTAGTCGCACTATTTCCATGGGATGAATTGAATTTCACTGTTCTCTGACACGTGAGTTACCCATGGCATTCCCTAGTCCAGTGCAGTCCTGTCAGTTATGTTTGTTAATGTGAGATCAATCTCGTTGCTTCATCTCTGCATTTTGAGATATTATGCCCTGTTATTCTGGATGTGCAAACAATAAAGCATGGTCCCATTGCTATACATCATGGTCTGTTAATTCATTTCTGTAAGCAAATAGGTAACTGTGCCGTGTGTCCTGTCTCTAATTCTGAGTCACCTAGGAAGCATGCTTGGATTGTACCTTGTTTGATTGCCTCATGATGGTTATTGATTTTTTATTCCACTCAGCTTCATTTTCTGAATTCAGTGGACTTCTGTTCATTTTGTGGTTTTCTCAGTTGTTTGTACCATAGCTTATATGTTGTAACATCTTGTTGGTCATGGATTTGCAAGAAAATGAATTAGTCTTCAGATGTGAATGGGCTGTTACCAGAAGTTAGGCAATGAACCAAATGAATGCCAAAAGCGACTAAGGCTATTTGACAGAGACATGCCATAGAAATCTCACTACCTTTCTAAGTAGGTGGGCAATGTCAATGATGTTGCGAGTCACCTGATCTTTTGGTAGGTGTTTTTTTCTTCATGGAGTGGCCTTTTTAATTGTAAAATGTACTATGTACTATTTGTTCCATGCACATGTATTTTTTATGTTTAAAGGGTTGCCATTCTTATAACAAATGACCTTTGGTGATGTCTAATGTGATTATCTTTTATGTTTATTAGCTGATATGAAACATAAGGCTAGGGGTCAGTACAGTCTTGAAGGCATTTCAGTTGGTTCTTTACTTGTGTTTGAGAAGCTCGAGCTCACTAGAAAATAAGCTCATTTGTGGGGCTTGTGACATGTAGAACTTCTGCAACCTGCTGATTTTATATTTTGATTACGGATATGAAGAAGTTATAGGCAGGAATACAGTATGTTTGAGGTGGTGTGAGTTACCTGGAAGTGAGCATTTTTTTTTTTGTATTGTACACGAGAAAATTTATGGGCCGTGAGAGTAGCATGGAATTGTGCTATACGGTTGTGAATTATGCCATTATCTTCATTTCTGGGTCTAGAAATTTCTGAAATGAGTACCAGGAGATGCCATTACAGTGTGATATGGATACCATTGAATTGCTGGGTTTGAAGATTTGACATGAACACTTTGTCGTCTCATCAGGTTCAATTATTGGACGTTCATAGTTTGTGTCTGCAAGGCCTCTTTGATATCAGTAACTCGGAAATTTGATTTGGCATGACTGAACTATTCCTGTGAACCAATCACTTACCTGACAAGCACAAGAAAGCTTTGCTAGACCTGAGCTCAGCAATCTCTTACATTTTGTTCATTGTTGCACAATTTTAGCATGTTCTTACTGTTGTTGAGCAAACCATAAGACTATAAAATCCTCTAGATACCAATAGGGAAACATGGATGCTTTAGTTGCACCTTTAACTGTTTAAGTTGTGTTTTTATGGCCCCTTTGGAATGGAGGAAAATTTCCCTGTTTCCTGTGTTTTTCATGTGAAAATGAACTGATTTCTGTGTAATTCCTGCACAATTCCTGCGAGGGTATGGGTAAAAGTTGTGCTATTTTTCTGTTATTTATACAGGTGGTGAATGATTTTGTATATAATTCTCTGGATGATTGTACTGCTTGTTGGAATTTTGTTGAGATTGTCTGTGTTTCATTCGCATTTAAGTTGTCTTGGCCTAGAATGCTTCTTAATTTCTTTTCATTGCCTTGAAATGTCTAGCTATTGGTGTTTGGGCTAATAAAGAGATAAACTGTTTACCTATGATTTATTTTTGGATGACTAAAGTACAAGGGGTACTGCATAATACTTTCTACTCTCTGGTGGCTTACTATTATTTGGACATGGAATGATCTTTTGAATAACCTTTTCCAAATTGGCATTTTGCCAAAGTTTACATGTAAAAGTATCTGTTAAACTTTTGGCTACTAACATACATCTAAGTGTGTAGACATATCATTTAGAAATAATATTAGTATATTTTTCATTTAATGTGCTTAACTGCTTATGTTTCATGATATATCTACCATTTTTGCGTAATGGTAAACAAAAGAATTTTGAAGACCATTTCAATAGAACATGTAAAATAGAATAGAGTTGATGTATCTTGTTTCCTGATATAATCATGCCTGATATTCCATTGTGGTCGCAACTCTTGCGTCAGAGTCAGACGAATGCATTCTTCTATGTTGACCGATACTGGCAACCTAGTTCACTTAAAACTATAGAAGTGTTTAGCTAGGACTGTTAGGTTATGGAGCTCTTGTGTGGCCGTGTTTTCTGAGTCTTGAAATCACCCCTTCTATGTGTAACTATGTTTCCGGAAGTTGCTTGTTATGCACTTCTCCTTTGTGCTGCCAGATAAAGTGTTGTGTCTGCATTTTATCTTGTTTCTCAGATGCTAAAGTTATACAGGAAAGAAGGAAATTTCGCAGGGCCTTTCTTTTCTTTCTCAAAATTGGCCAGTCCTTATTTGGGAAATTGATTCCCAAAGTAATGTTGTACTTTTTCAGTAATGTTTTGAGAGTTCATTCGTCGATGTAATCACTTCTCACCCTGGCCTGTGTTGTCAATCTTGACATACATGTTACAAATATTCATGTAATGTAATGCTCTTTTTTCATTTTGCGAAACTACTAATCATTTGTTTGTTTCTTGCTTGTGAATTATTATTGTTGTTGCAGGGGCACGCAAGGTTCGTTCCATGACCGAGGGGTGAGGTGAACACAAGGCTGATGTCGCCAGTTGCAACACTGTTGCTTTAGACTGCCATGTTGAATAATCCTTCCAGCAAAAGATACACCAATTACAATTTACATGTGGGTTGTGCCATGATTGTATTGTTAGAAGGGGGTTCGGCGAACCCCAACAGTTATACTGATACGAAAATAAAGAACTGTTAATAAAGGACAATAATAAAGCATAAACATTGGCGACGTGCTCATGTTTCGATACCGTTCCCTTTTGCCTTTTTTTAACAGTGGAATGGATGCAGGAACCCATGTGCTCAGGCATTCTGTCGCACGTGGTTGCCCGTTGGTTTCTCTCTCTGCATAGCCTAAGGGCAAAATGGCAAAATATCACTCCATGCTAAAACAAGATGAAATAAGCTTACTCCGTACATCTGAACAGCTTATTTTTACATCTAACATTTTACCATTCTACCTTTGACCATAAGCCAGCTTATATAAACCAAGAGGAGAACATAGGGGCCTTAAAGGCCTGAACAATATAATTGAACAGTAGCTTCATTTTGAAAACTATTCTGATATTCAGCTTTTTCTTACATCAAAGATGACATTTTAACATTCTACCTTTGAACCATAAGCCAGCTTGTTTTTTTTTTTGAGCAAAATAGTCGGCCTTCATTATATATCACATCAGCATAAGAAGTACAGACTATCATGAGGCGAAACAAACCAAACATATCTTCCATAAGCCATAAACCAAGAAGAGAACAAACGGGCCATAAAGGCCTCAAGCCCTCAACAATAGTTCAACAGTAATCAGTTAACAGTAGCTTAATTTTTAAAACTGTTCTGATATTCTTACTTTATAGTACTATGAGGACAATTGTGTCATATTCTTACTCTATTTATAGTACTAACAATAATGTCAATTTGCCCCTCATAAATAAGTTACTCTCTAGGGACAATTGCTGCACTACCACTATTTCTTTGTATTTTTACCCTACTATTGTTACTTTGGTATGTACTTTGCCTCTTGTTTTTTTTAAAAGGCAATTCGAACGTTTAAATCGAGTAAAATAAGGGTAGCACAATATTTTTTTTTGGGGGGGGGGTTTGAGGCGCGGAGCGGGGTTGTGGGTGTGGGTGTTAAGAAATGGGTTAGTCTGTTGTCGTCTCAACTTTAATTTTATTTTTTTGTTTATGAAATAGAATGACTTATTCATTACCATTTCATTCCTCACAAGCTAATAATTGGTATAAGTGTGAAAGTAGAGTCATTCTACCCAATTAAAGGGATAAACTCATGATGCATCACATATTGATGCTTACTCAAACCAAATAGCCTTCTAGTGACCGAAGGATAGTGCCCCCCCAATATAACTTTGTTTCCAAGGTTGTTTTTCAGCTCGAGCGAATACCTGCAACATTCGGCCTGTTCGCTTGGTCGTAAAAGATCGTAAATTTCCAGCCAGAACATTATTTTTCTCTCACATCAAACCAGCCAGCAGTAATAATCCACGATCGTATACGATCGTTTCAGCCGCAGCCCAACAGGTTGATTACTTATGCAGTGTGCATTTGACCATAAACATGATCATCATGCGCATTACATCATCAAAATGCATATTTGCAGAAATCTGTGTTAAATATTATTGGAACTAGCAATTTTGTGTACTGACGGACGATCGGACAGTTGCTTTATCAATCTGTCAGAGTCATGCTATGATGGACATTCCGAAAGGGACATCGTCAGTTTGCCAAAACATGTCCCTAGACAGCTACTGAATATAAAGGGCCACGGGAGGACAAGAGCCCCTAGACGCGTCCCTAATGAACTCCACGATACATGGTCTAACATATCAAAAGATGGTGACACAACATTTGATAAATTCTATATGTACACTTTTCAATGATTACTATTGACTCGTGAGGATTTTGGACATGGATCGGTGCCATTGAAAATCTTATCTCCTTATCTTTTCGTGCGTACGTAGAACATTGAAAAATAGAGTCTGTATACGACTTGGGCGATAATTTTAGGGCGGACTACTCCTAGAGTCTAATTTATACTTGAACTTTATAGATTGGTCCTCCAACTTGGCTTGGACGACCATGCTAGTTTACTCTGCCTCATGCCTCTCTCTATGTATA